AACAAATGGTAAACACCACAGCGTACACTATTGAGTTATGGATGCACGCGGGAGGTTGCTAAGCACGAAAGAAGCGTAAGAGTCGCTCGAGGCGATAGCCGAGAGCGACTCTAGCTTCTTGAGTGCTTAGCAAACCTCCCAAGTGCATCCATAACTCAATAGTGTACGCTGTGGTGTTTACCATTTGTTTTATAACATAACATTGATACATTGTAGCTAAAGAGTTCCCTTTTATTTAACAAATCTTACGTGACCAGAAAAAACAAGCGCGCGCGGAAAAATAGTCTTTGCATTTGCTCACGTCAGCAGCGTACACCCATGGGCAAATGGGGGACGCTAAATTGACCAATCAGAGCGCGCGCTTTACTTTGGTTATGTTATACTAATTGGAACAGAACAAAACAATACACACCTAATTCATACGCATTGCGTACCTATTTCGATTACCGTGACAATCGTAACCGTTTCAAAATTAAACAAACCTCTGAGTGCTCTTTGTTGACTTGTTCCAGCTCTTTGGAGGTACTATTAAACTTCTTTTCGAGATCAGAAATGTCTTGCATACTTTTGATGTTTTCTGTTTTTAGCAACTATGGGGGAAAAAGTCACAAGATTAAAAGAAAGTACTGAAACGCTATAAGCCTACAGATTACCAACCAGTCGAGAACCTTCACACGGTCATGTTATAATTACCTCAGTTTCTCTAAGAAACTCCTGGATTTGTGAGTTTAGCTTTTCTTGCTCTGCTTTGGAATCAGTACGTTCTCTCTCCACAACCTGCAAAATTGCCAATCAACATTTTACCACCACGAAGGGAGAAGAATAAAGATTCTGTACAACGTTCCGGAAAAGACCTCACCTTAAGCAACGATTCATAATTTTTGTTCAAACTTTCATTCTCAGCTAACAGCTTTTCGGCTTCTAGGCGAACACTAGCCAGTTCTTGCGTAACCTGCGTCATGTTATCAGATGAGCTGGCCGTCCTATAACAACGTATTGTAACAACGTGTCAACAACAAATCGTGTTTCCTTTGGGCTCAACTTTTCGCATGAATCCTTTACAAGCTAACATTAATATTCATATTTTCCACACGGTTCTGGGAATCGCTGTTTTAAACTAGCTTTGATTCCCTCCAGCAAACTGGAACTAATCAGCTTGCATTTCAGGTAATAAAGTTTTTAACAACTCGATATACATGCAGCAGCGCCGTTGGGTGGCAATTGTAGTACAACAATTCCTATGGATAATAAATTGGTTTGGGGGACAAACGAGTATTGACGATGATGGGTCAACTTACTTGGATTTTTCTATTTCCAGTTCCTCTTGAAGTTGAGTTAGCTGGGTTTGCAGTTCCTGAAACGCAAGTTGCGCGACAAAGTGATAATCATTTCGAAGACACCAATTAACAAATAACAAACGTGTCATTATCCCCTGTAAGGCAGCCCCAAACAGTTTCTTTAGAAACTATCACCCTTTATTCACGTTGCTGCTGAATTAACCCTTTACACCCCAATATCATTACGCATATTCTCCATACTTTTCTCCATACGTTTCCTGAAGTGCTAACTAGGAGAATTTGTTTAACAATCAAGAGCTTCTTTAGTTGGTGTTGTATTTCCCTTATTTTCGCTACTTAATGTTGGATTCAAGAATTATATAAGAGGGAAAAATTAAATCCGTTTCTCCCTCCCCGGGGGGGGGGAAGGGTACGGCTACACGCAGGCTAGATGTTGAAACAGTAAGTTGGAGTCACTAGGATAGGATAGGATAGGATATTTATTTATACACGGTTTTTCCATCAGTTGATTTAGTTAATTATCCATACTAGAAACCTATCTATCTAACTACAATAATAATTTGATAATAATAATTCAAATAAAAGAAATAAATAAAAACTCTGCTTTTCATGGAGGCCGTGTCTAAAATTTACTTAAAATTAAGATCTTACTTTAAACTGTGGCGATTTAATTAAGATTTGAAATCAATCAGCGAAGACGCTTGTCTTAGGTCTACAGGTAAGTTGTTTAACAATTGAGCTCCGCTGTACAAAAAACTCCTCTTGAGATAGTCAGTCCGAGGTTGTGAAAGAACTAACTAGAAAGTACTCAAGGATAAGCGAGAGCAAAGCTAGAATTTTCTGTCTGTTATAAGGAGGCGAATATCAAACAAAACTGCGCTGTCATACAAACCTGCTTCTTGCAATTCTCCAGTTCTTTTTTGGCTTTGATGGCGACTTGTTTTAGTTTGTTCATCTTATCGTCTTTTTCCTTATTCTCGCGCTCTAGCATTTCTACAAAACAGAGAAGAATTACAAAGCTGGGCATTTAAAAAACTGTACCCCAAGGTTACCACAAATTAAGCCATGAGGTTTCCGTACTTATCCAAGCGAATTTCCAAGCGATCGGAACGGTTACCGATGGCCCGAACGTTCGATACGCTCACATTCATCCGGAAAGAGCCTTGTGCATAAACATGGTTTACATATGGTTACCCCAAGTAGAACAATTTTCAACTGAGTGTCGAAAATAATGCAGGATTGCTTTGCTTTTCCTTAAATTCGCTCTGTGATTGGTCCAGAAAACTCAGTCGCACCATTTTCTAAACCAATCACATGCAAACCAAAAACCATCCCGATTTGGTCATTGGCGTTTTCCCGCGCTTCAAGCAGTTTGCTGGTTTTCACTTTGAATTCTCATTGGCTAATGATAATGTAAACCTTTGTTTCGATTGGTCGCTGGGATATTTACTTTTTGGATACTCAATTCAAAACTGCTCTTGTCTTAATCTTCCTGGATAGGGAAACCAGGACGATCCCTTTGATCATATGGATATCAAGACGGTCTTGATAACATACCACGAGCCTCTACGGTGGTTCTTAATTCCTTTTGTAGTTCTTCTATCCTATTCGTAACCTGGCATGCCTCCTCAGCTCCTGACTCCATCTTGCTGTTCATGTGTGCTATGGTTTTTTGCACAGTCTCGACTTCAGTTTGCTGGTCGCTCAGTTGAACCCGAAGATTTTTCACCTCCATGACCTTCCCTTCGAGTTCTGCTTTCAATGTCTGAACATTTGACTCGAGGGACGAGACTGTGCTCTTGGTTTCCTCACTGACCATTTGATATTTCTGAACTTCTTCCTCTCTCCGATCAATTGTTTCATTTTTAACGCTAAGTTCATTTTCAAGTTCGCTTATTTTCAACCGCTGCGTTTCCAGTTTCGATTCCACATCAGCAAGGCAATGTTCCTTTTCCTCAATCAACGATTTCAATTGGTGCAATTCCTCCTCTTTGAGCAGAAATTCTTTATCTACAGAAGCAGTTTGCTTTTCAAATGTCTCCATTCTTTTCTTTAACTTTCTCTCAATCTCCTCCTTTGAGGAAATATTTTGGTTGAGAGATTCGATCTTCTCGCACAATTCTTTCTTTTCTGACTTAAGTTTCTCGTGCTCTTGTTCCTTTTCCTGAACGGATTGCGTGAGTCTCTCGTTACACTCCAGTAATGTCCTGATTTCGTTATCTTTAGAAGCAGTTTTTTCGTTAAAATCCATAAGATTATTCTCTTGCATCTGCAAATCTTGTTTAAGAGCAACAATCGTTTCATTATTCAGTTTGCAAGTCTTTTCAACGTCCTCTTTCTCCTCGCGGTGAGAATTGATCTGTTCCTCCATCGAACGTATTTTCAACCTCAGATCTTCTTCAACTCGTAGATGTTCTTGCAATTTCAGTTCGTATTCGCTGTTATCCTTCCCTTTATTCTGTAAACTCGATTCGAGATTTTTAACCTGCAAGTTCAAAATTTGCACCTCTTCAGAAAGAGAAACATTCAATTCCTTGGAGCCCGCTAATTCCATGGAAGTTTGTTCGAGTTTTGCATTCAAACTGTCAACAAACTCTTGGAAATTCTCCAACTCTTTTTCCTTCCCACTGAGATTTTCCCTGCAGTCATTGATTTCCCTTTCCTTCGCCTGAAAGCTTTCGTTCAGTTTCTCAAAACTCGATTTGAGAGCCCCAAACTCCTCCGTTTGTTTAGTCAATCCATCACTGCATTTCTCTCTTTCCTCCAGCTCGCTATTCAATGCCTTTACTTTTTCTTGTGATTTCTGTAAATTCTGCTTCAGCTGTTTCACGGCCTTCACAGCTTTCTTAAACTCTTCTTCTTTGCTTCTCAACTTCTCCGAAACAGTTTCCAATTCATTCTTGTTTTGGTCGAGACTCGTTGATAACTCAGCTATCTGGACATCTCTCTCCTGTAAACTTTCGTTCAATTTCTCGATGGTCGTGGCTAGCGCTTCCTTTTCGTTATTTAGCCTTTGTATTTTCTCATCAAGTAGTCCAACAGACTCACTCATGGTCTCCTTTTCCTGACTAAAATCATTCAATCGCGATTTCAACCCTGTAAGTTCGTTATCCTTCAAAGCAAGCGATTCTCTCAGTGTGCTAATTTCAGGGTTGAGTTTTTCCAATTCTTTTTTGTTTTCTTCGAGTTCACATAAAGCCTCAGTTAGTTCACTTCCTTTTTCTTCAAAGGACGTGTTCAGTGTATGGACAGTTTGCTTCAAGCTTTGATTATCCTACAGAGAGAAAAAGATAAATCATAAAACTCTCTGGGTCAGAACAAAAATTGGATACAAAGAAGTTTATGAATTTTGAATACATGAAAATCATATCTGTGTACTGCGGTTTCATGAAATGTATGAAAGCGTTCCTCGCTAGGTGGAAATAAGGCCTGAAAAAATTCAGGCACCTACTAGATAAGTAGGCTTTATTACTGCGAGGAACGCTTTCATACACAAAGAAATTTGTTTACAAAGGTAAACAACCTTGGATTTTGAAGATTTTACTATGAACACTTTATCAATCCTTTACAACCTAATATCAGTACCAAATTCTCCACACTCTTCTTTAGTATAATTTCAGAGCTGAGCAAAGAGTTTCCAGCAATCTGATTAGTCGAGCGGTTCCTTATATGACGCTATATAAACCGCTCCACAC